CCCCCGTGATGTTGCAGGAGTGGGCGGTCGGGCCATCGGAGACAGTCACACCAGAGCCTGGGACCAGGCCAGGTTCCACGGGACCGTGTTGGCCGCTGAAGCCGTGAGTCGGCTGGAGTTGGGCCCAGGTCAGAGCCACGGAAACGCAAGCCTGAGCCCAGGCCCTGGGCATGGAAGGCAGAGGCCTGTGCACTGTTCGCCTTCGGAGAACACGGGCAGGACGGCCAGGGAGGCGCAGAGAAGCCCAGGACTTCACCTCGTGTCCCCAGAGAGGAGAGGGTGGCGGCCTCATCACCCCTCCACTTCCTGCGATCCTGCCGCGTAACAGTCCACTCCACTCAGGTCCCTGTCCCCTCAGCTGACTTGCGTGGGTTTCTGTCCTGGGAAACAGATCTTTTCAAGTCACACATGGGCCCGGAGGAGCGAGTTGAAACAACAGACCATCAGAGAAAATGCTGGCACCGCTGGGGAGATACCTCCGGGCGTGATGGGTGGTCAGGGTTCCCGCCCCCCAGGGTTCCCGGGGGGGGGCCTGTACCAGCAGCTCATTCATGTTCTTTTAAAAATATACATATTTTTACTGATGTCAGAGAAAGGAAGGGAGAGAGACGTAGAAACATCAATGATGAGTCATGGGTTAAAATAAAATAAAAATAAAAGGAAGTGAATTGACTGGCAAAAAAACACAAACAGGTGACAAATTGGGGGAAATAATTGCAGTTATATCCTAACACTGACATGTGAAGAGTCGAATGAAGCCACAGGACAGGGTAGGCCTCTGCTGCTTCCGGCCACGACACAGAATCACAGGGTCCAGGCAACCCTCCAGCTGAACAAGTGTTTAAAAAGGGGGAGATACACGAATCGGCAGCTTTTAGCCATTTGGAGAGAGAGGGGAGCCCAGCGGGAGACCAGGCCACGTGCTGCGGTCCTGCGTGGCTCTGAGCTGAAGGGCCACCACGGGTTGTGGAGGGGGCGTGGCCGCTCGACTGACAGGGCGGAGGACCAATCAGAGAGGAGGAGGCGGGGCTCCCTGGGCTCCCGGGTCTTCAGCTGAGCGGGTCAGAGCACGTGGAGGAGGTGAGAACCGAAGGCCGGGGCCCAGGCAGGCGGGTGCTCCGCTCACCTGCCGGATGAGGCCTCTGCTCACCTGCCCGGGGAGGCTCCCAGGTGCTGGGCCAGCTGCCATCCTTTACCTGTGAATTCGGAAACGAGCACAGAGCAACGCGCCCTGCGTGTTCCCAGCTCAGGCCGAGATGTGGGCACTGCCACGGGCCATCCGTCTTTTCCATCCTGAGAATTCAGGCCCGGGCCGCACGCAGAGCAGCAAGAACTGGAAAAGGCGGTCCTGGCTCCACAGCCCCTTCCGGGAGCAGCTGCGGAGGAGCGCGGGCTCCGTGCACCCAGGGAGCCGGGGCTGAGCGCTGGGCAGTGCTCGGAGCTGTAACCGACAATCGTCCTGGGACAGGGGAGGGTTCCCTTTCCCTGGAGATAAAGGCGATCGGCCGGCACGGGTGGCCCCCAGGTGCCCGGGGAGCTTACAGTGGCTGTGGGAGGACGGGTAGCCTGTAGTGCCGTCCTTGGCAGGAGGCCTTACACTGAGGGTGAGCGCATGGCTGTGAGGACAGTGCCTGCGCAGCAGGTGAAAAGACGAGGTTCCTTTTTTACCTGGTTTAATGGTTATTCAACAACAAAACTGTTTTCTCTAGTTCTACATTTGCGGACATGATTTCCTGGGTTACAGGAGATTTTGTTTTTATTTTATTTTTTAATTTTTTAACTGATTGTGTAATATATATGTATTTTGATTTCACAGAGGGAGAGGGAGAGAGAGAGACAGAAACATCTATGATGAGAGAGAATCATGGATCGGCTGCCTCCTGCACGCCCCCTACTGGGGATTGAGCCCGAAACCCAGGCATGTGCCATTAACCCTTTAATACAGTTCCTCATGTTGTAGTGACCCCCAACCATAAAATTATTTTCGTTGCTACTTCATAACTGTAATTTTGCTACTGTTATGAATCGTAATGTAAATATCTGATATGCAGGATGTATTTTCACTGTTTGAGACCCACAGGTTGAGAACTGTTGCCTTAACAGGATTCGAACCCGGCACCCTTCAGTCCACAGTCCTACGTTCTATCCACTGAGCCAAACGGGCCAGGGCAGGAGATTTTACTTTTAATCCCACCCCCTCCCCATCAGCTTTTTATTTTATTTTTTAAAATATATTTTGATTTTTTTACAGAGAGGAAGGGAGAGGGATAGAGAGTTAGAAACATCCATCAGCTGCTTTTATTGATTTTTTACAGAGAGGAAGGGAGAGGGATAGAGAGTTAGAAACACCGATGAGAGAAACATCGATCAGCTGCCTCCTGCACACCCCCTACTGGGGATGTGCCCGCAACCAAGGTACATGCCCTTGACCGGAATCGAACCTGGGACCCTTCAGTCTGCAAGCTGACGCTCTATCCACTGAGCCAAACTGGTTAGGGCAGCTTATTTTATTGTTTGATTGATTGATTGCCTGGTTTTATTTTTCTTTTATTTTTACATCTTTATTGTTGAAAGTATTACATATGTCCCCCTTTGACCCCTTCTAGCCCGCCCCCCCCCCCCACCCCAACCTCCCCATCAGCTTTTTGGAAACACAGTTGTATTATTTCACCATAAAGAGGGGTTGATCATTGTCCTGATGAGCCCATTTTTGAAAAGTGACACTTTTGCCCAACAATCCTCCTTCCGAGGTAAGATCTTCTCACCTTTTTCCAATTGTATTTACTGATTTTTATAGTTTTACGCATTAGTTGTGAAATCTAGAAAAGCTACAATTTCTATTATCTTTCCTTCCTTGGAGAAACCATAGCGGGGCATTTATTGATTCCTAGTATTTTGGTGAAAATTCTAGTATTTCAGATAAGTGGACATGATACACCCCTCTGTTCCCGCGCCCGGTTGTGGGGGATTGAGACACCCTTCCTTGATCCCCCACAGGAGGAAAGACAAATGGGAACCTGGCGTCCCGCCCGGGCGGCGAGCTTTCCCCGCGCAGCGCCCCTCCACCGCCGGACGAGCTGGAGACTTGGAAGACGCTCCCTAACTGGACGGCACGCAGACTTATGGGAAATAGAGTCCCGCTGCCCCGGGTGGGCCCCGGCCGGCGACTTCCGGCGTCCTCGTGCGCATGTGCAC